TCTTTTTATCCTTGAAAACGAAATTCTACTCACTATGGTTCTCCATATTTAGGAAAAACAAAATGGCCGATATTATTAGTCTCAATTGCCTTGTGATTCATACCACCATTCCTGAAAGTATTTCTGTAGATAATATTATTGTGCTTGAGATTCCAACTAACAAACAAGTCGATATCCTAAGACCTATGATTAAGGAACGATTTCCATTTTGGTTTGAAAATATTATTCCTTATGAATTTGTTCTTCATAAGATTAATGTAGATCTAATTATAAACATCCACCAGCAAATTACAGTGTATCAAGATGGGAATGGAGACGTTGGTAGGCCAATATATCCATATGAATTAATTTCTAAGTATTTTAATAGACAACCTCCCAATGAAAAAATTCATATTATTGTACAAGTAAATACTCAACCCCCCATTAGTAATAGTGGATATGTATTTTATTTACGTCTGCAGTATGTAACTGTGATATGATTTTTTTTTATTTTTATGTTGTTATTTCAGTAACATTTTTTATATATCAATAAAGTAAGGTTCTATGTAACCATTTGTCTCAATCGAATTATGTGGATGTCCATGCTTTATTTTCATCAAAATCATGTGAGCATTATAATTTGTAACACCAATCACTTTAGCAAGAAAAAAAAATTGAATGCGTCTCAATACTTTGATATAATACGTCATCATACATAAGATATTAATATGTCTCACAAATCTAGAAACAATACACGGAAATCTCAAGGTAAATTTACCATGAATCCTACACAGTATATGCAATTTAAGAATCAGGATAAGTATATACATATCATTGACAACAATCATATAATTATCATAAATAGAAATACTCAAGATATGAAAGTGGTATTTGACTATGAAGAGGTATGTAGATATCTAGAAATAAATAACATTGATTCAGGTACTTTAATTACATATATGAAATAATTGAATGAGCCACTGCTTATATAGTAAAAAAAATTCTTTATTGTTAATACTAAAATGAGATTACTTAAAATGTTGTTGAAATTGACATGCTAGAACTGATAGTTGTGTTTTTGACTATGGGTAAATTAGGCAAAAGATTGATTCTATCTTTAATCTGAACAAAATTATTGGCTATTTTTTCTAAGTAACAT